CCTGTTACTCACACCTGTAATCCCAGCACTTTGGGAGGCCAAGGCAAGTGGATCACTTGAGATCAGGAGTTTGAGACCAGCCTGGCCAACATGGCAAAACCCTGTCTTTACTAAAAATACAAAAATTAGCCAAGTGTGGTGGTGGGCACCTGTAGCCCCAGCTACTCAGGAGGCTGAGGCAGGAGAATCACTTGAACCCAGGAGACAGAGGTTGCTGTGAACTGAAATTGTGCCACTGCACTCCAGCCTGGGCAACAGAGCAAGATTCGGTATATATATATATAGATGTATAAAAGACAATCATAGTTCAACCAGCTTATTAAAAACTAATTAGAAGTTAAAAGCAGCACAGGCTAGAAATGGAGCTGTGGCCCCAAGACTGCTCATGACCTGAGCGGTCAGATCCACCCCCACCACAGGGAGCAGGACCATAAATCCGGTTAAGAGCCAGCTGGTGCACTCGTACCCGCTGGTCATTATTGGGCCAGGCCCACTAAGATGGTGTCTTTTATTCCCAAGCTTGTTTATGTGCAAATAGGGTTATGTTGAGGGGAGAAAAGCACATTGCTCAGTGGACAGAGGCTTCACAGGGGAAAGGTCCACCGCTGTAAGGAGTCAGCCCTGGGATTAGCAGGGGCAGATCGTCTCTCCAGCCTGGGGATGAGGGTGGACACCATGAAGCAGACCCAGTTCCCTGCTCCAGAAGCGGAGGCTGCGGTGAGTCGAGATCGCATCACTGCACTCCAGCCTGGGAACAGAGTGAGACTTTGCCTCCAAAAAACCAACCAAACAACAACAACACAGTTCCCAGCTCCCGCACAGGAGAGACCCACGACATCTTCATGCTCTCTTTCTACATGACCCAACTCCAGAAAAACCCTCCCACTCCTCAGGGCTCAGCCTCATCTCGCTAAACTCGAATCCAGTGTTTTCAGGACTGGTGAGATTTGCTTTGTCTTAAGTTTTGTGTAACTGGGGGGCTTGAGAAGGGAGGAGGTGGGAAAGGAGTCAAGGCTGCAGGGAAAGCATGGAACAATGTCTAACATGCGGTGGGTGCAATAATGGCTCCCACAGACGTCCACACTCAAATCACCAGAACCTGTCATGACCAAAGGGACTCAGCAGATGTGATTAAGTAAAGGATCTTGAGATAAAGGGGGATTATTTTGGATGATCTGGGTGAGCCCAATGTGATCAAAGGGGAATTCTAAAAGGAAGAGGGTCAGAACCAGAGAAAAATGTGACTGTGATGACGGAAGCAGAGGGCTGAGTGATGTCTTTGAAAACAGAAGGCCACAAGGCAAAAATGAGGGTGGCCTTGAGAAGCTGAAAAAGCAAGGAGCGAACTCTCTCCTGGGGCTCCGGAAGGAAGAGGCCTGGTTGACGCCGTGATTTTAGCTCTGTGATGCTCATTTTGGACATGTGACCTCTGGAATTGTAAGACAATAAATTTGTTCTAGGTCCCTACATTTGTGGTGATTTGTGACAGCAGCAAGAGGAAACTAACATAGCAAGTGTTGACTCAACATTGGTGATAGGTTCTTGGAAACTAAGACTTTAAGCTAAATACAGTACTTTATGCCCTAGGAACCGAACTCTTGTTTGTATCAATTTGTCCATGCTAAAGTTCATTTCATAACACAATACGTCATACTGCTTAAAGCTGCAGTTCCCATGCAAGCCTGGATAATGTTAAGCCAGGACTCACCCCTGGACAATGTTAAGTCAGGACAGTGTAAAGCCACAACCTAAGACTTTTCCTCATCCAAATCCCCTCATTTCCACCTTGTGCTACAATGGCATTCCCTTAGCACAAGACGCAGGCAGGTTCTGCGAAGAAGCTGTCATGGAACGGCCACTCCAGGTTCGTGTTTCTTGCACATAAGAATGTCTTATAATTTGATAATACGCTGGTTAGCAGCATGTTTTATGACATTTTAGGACATTCCGAATGAGTCCCAAGACTTGTATGAGCCTACGGGTCATTAGATTAAATCAATATATAATTTTCCCCTCTTTTCAAAAGAATTCTTATATTCCTTGCTACGAACAAGTATAGAGTTTCTGTCTGCCATGTGTAGCGGTTCAGCTCTACTTTTCCTCAACAGAAAAATGAAGGACAAATGTATTCTGGGCCTGGGATAAATCTGCTTTGTAACTGTTTATGTTCAAATCGAGCAGACCTTGGCATGATCAGGTTTCAATCTCTTTTATACGTAGAAATCTACACACATGTAAACGTAAGGGTCGGGAACAGATTTCCCTATGAAATTCCCAAGTGCCAGGAGTGGGTTATGGAAACTCTTGCTCTGTGTTTCTGTGATAAAGATCAAGGAAATCCTAGCACGGTACCTCCTGAAGACAGAAACTAGGGATTTGTCCCATATGGCATCTGCCACATGCCTTTGTCAAAAGATAGAAGGGCAGTCCTCATACTTCCTCACGAACAGCATCACCTAGAGGGCTTGTTCAACCCAGAATGCAGGGTCTCAGCCCCAGAGCTTGTGAATCAGCAAGTCTAGGGTGAGCCCAAGAACGTGCATTTCTAACCAGCTCCCAGGGGTGCTGCTGCTGCTGCTGGCTGGGGCCACACTTTGAGAACGACCACGGCAGAGAGATCATGCTCAATACAATGCCCGATGTCTTACACGTCCTGAGAAAGGTCACGGCTCTACCTCCCAATCGGACTGTCCCTGACAAGCTGTTGAACACATACTGAAACTGATGAAGTGCCTCTGTCTCCTTCTTGACTCTCAGCCAAAGGTTCTCCAGTTTGGCCGCAGAGTGCAATCACTAAGACAACTATTCAACCCCTCTATGCCCAGGCCTCACTTCAGATAAATCAGAATGGGGATGGAGGTGGGCCACAGGCAGTCCTCAGTGGTTTCCAAAGCTCCCCAGGGGATCCAAAGTGCAGCCATGACAGAGAACCGCTTCCCTAAGCAAACATGAGGAGTGACATCATGATGCCTCCTGGCTGAAGCTGACTATTTGACAGGGCTCCAAGACAGGTCTAGACACGGGTCTGTCTTCTCCAGGGCTGGACCCAGCCCTTTGCACAATGACACACAATTGGTGCCCAATTAATGACTGCTGAGTAAATAATACTAATCAACCAACAAGCTTGCAGAGGGCTAGCACCTCCTTCCTCAAGGGTACCGGAATGAATACACAGAGGCAAATTGGGTCATCATAAATCATTAGCCTTCACAAGGCAAACAAACATATAACAAAAATGACAACAAACTCCTCTGAGAAAGTTCAACTCCACAGTCACAAGTTGAAGTGAACATCATGACCACGATGGATGAAAACCAGAAAAGCATTTTTCGTTCCAGAACAGGGGTTGGCAAACTAACCTACAGGCCAAATCCAGCTGCTATCTATTCTTAAAAATAAAATGCTACTGGCACACAGCCACGCTCATTTGTGTCTGCACTGTCTATGGGGGCTTACACAGGACCCCCGCAGAGGTGAATATTTGCCTCTGAAATAGTATAGTCCCCAAAGCCAAACATATTTACTCTCTGGCCCTTTAAAGAAAATGTTTTCCAACTTCTTGCCCTAGAGAAATGAGAGGACATACACACACACACACGACGTAATGGTGACCTTCTTTAGGTGGTGGAATTATGAGTGGCTATTTCTTTTCTCTATTTTTTTCTTATATCCGCCAATTTTTCTTTAAGGAGCATGTGTTTTTAAGTAACGGACTAAAGAAGAATAAATGATCCATTTTAATGCAGGCAGTGACAAGTGAGCTTCCCGGTGTGGGACGGTACCTTGTTTCCAATGGCCTTTTTGGGTGGGAAGTTGTAGGCCCTCACTTGAGGGTACTTGTTTTGTAACTTGTGGTGCAAACTCCTGAACTCTGTATACCGGCGATAGATGTTCCATTCATCGTCTTTTATCCGGATGTAGACCTGTCAAGAAAGAGACAGAAAACGTAAATTCCTCTTAAAACCCTTATTATAAAGGAGTAGGATTTCGGCAATGCTTTCCCCAAGAAAACCAGTTGCAGCAGGAGTCACATCTGTGTTACACACCACTGGATGCCCAGTTCCTGGCATAGAGCAGGGACTCATTGGTGCCGGCTGAACAGATGGCTACAGGAAAGAATGACTAAATCAGGCAAGTTATGGGAACAACACACTGTATGCCATTTTCCCAATATCAACAGAGATCCACAGCCCAATTAATAGCAGAGATGCATTTTCATGTTTCTGTCATGTGTGTATTGCAGCACTAACAGCTTGCCGGTGAGAGGCTAGTCAACCTTTCTGGCCACTTGTTTCCTCATCTGTAAAACAGAGCTGAGAGCAGCACCTCGCTCCAAAGGTGGTTTGGAGAGCAATGCGCTGGTGCCTGGGACCACTCGGACCACCACAAAGATGAGGTGGAATTCAGTTTCAGAAAGAAGGGAGGGGGCCAGAGCTGAAATCTGCCCCACTACACAGAAGGCCATGTCCTGATGGGATAAGCATAACCGGGACATAGAATTTCTTCATTTTAATCAAGTTATGACTCCTTAGAGAATACTCTGGGGACACAAAATGTGAGGGCTGTTTAATCAGCTTTTTGCAGGCCTTAGCACCTTTCAGGGGCAAGTAGCGACTTCAACACAAGGAAAAATAGAGAAGGAGGAGAGATATCAATCCACTTTTTAAAATTACATAAGTTAAGAACAGCCCAGAGAGAAAAGTCCCCAAGGATAAAGGGCTATTGTAATTTACACTCCATGAATGTCAATACACATCTTTAAAACCTGTATGACCATGAAAAGAGGCATCTCTAATATGAGTGATAAATTCTGTTCCTACGTGAAAGCCACTCATCAACCCCGAACACAGACATTATGTATTCGAACTCTGGTATGGCGACCATAGAATGTCTCACGTTATTCTCTGAACAGGAGGAAGGACTAGAGACTCAAATCACACCCAATGTTTCCATAACGAATGGATAGATGTTTTTGATGGAGTGAGATGGAGAAACAGAATGCCTGTCAAGTTTACAGAAGTCCCGGGGTCTCTGATGACCTTAAGGAGCAATAATGTCATCCCATTATTGTCGACATCACATCACCAAACCTACAATCAGATCAGTTACTCAAGGCTTCTTCAACAAACAAGAAATATTCATCTCTAATTTGTTCAAGGTAATGTTTGAGGGGTCTTTGTATGAGCAGCTGAATGTAGTTCTCATCCTATATATCTTTTTCTTTTTTTTTAAAATGAGACAGTGTCTCACTCTGTTGCCCAGGCTGCAGTGCAGTGGCATGATCTGAGCAACCTCTGCTGTTAGTGCTGCAATACACACATGACAGAAACATGAAAATGCATCTCTGCTATTAAATGGGCTGCGGATCTCTGTTGACATTGGGGAAAATTGCATACAGCATGTTGTTCCCATAACTTGCCTGATTTAGTCATTGTTTCCTGTAGCCATCTGTTCAGGTTCAAGCGATTCTCCTGCCTCGGCCTCCTGAGTAGCTGGGATTACAGGTGCCCACCACCACACCTGGCTAATTTTTTGTATTTTTAGTAGAGACGAGGTTTCGCCATGTTTGTCAGGCTGGTCTTGAACTCCTGGCCTCAGATGATCTGCCTGCCTTGGCCTCCCAAAATGCTGGGATTATAGGTGTGACCCACCACGCCTGGCTGTCACCCTATATATCTTGAATGGCCCATACCTGCTTATGATATATTCTTATAAAAGTCCAAACATCCCTTGGAGAGTGGCAAGTTCAATCACTTCTCTGGTCATCATACGTAATACTAATTTTCTAGATCGGGGTGGGCAAACTATGGCCCCATGGGCCCAGTGCAGCCATATTCATTTGTTTTGGCTGCTTTTGCAATACAGACAGTCCCTCACTTAGGATGGCAATTGTCTTGCAATTTTTCAAGTTTATAATGGTACAAAAGCAATAAGCATTCAGTAGAAACCACACTTCAAATTTTGACCTTTTTTCTAGGCTAGTGATGTGCAGTATATTTTACATGAGTTGTTCAACACTTTATTATAAAATAGGCTTTGTGTTAGATGATTGTGCCTAACTATAGGTGAATCTAAGTGTTCTGAGCGGTTGAAGGTAGACTAGGCTGAGCTACGTTGTTAACTAGGTGAAGCGTATTAAATGCATTTTCAACTTACGATATTTTCAACTTACAATGCGCTTATCTGGACATAACCCCATCATAAGTCAAGGAGCTTCTGTACAGCAGAGTTAAGAAGCTGAAACAGACCATACAGCCTGCAAAGCTAAAAGTGTTTTTTCTGGCCCTTTACAGAAAGAGTTTGATAACCCCCAATCTAAACAATCAAGAAGTCATTATTGTTATTTTTCCACCAACATATCCAAGATCTGGTGTGGAGAGGGACAGTCCTTTCCAAATCTTACCAGCCACTGGGTGAGCTCCATTAACAACCTGAGTGAGGCCCAGGAATCCCCAAAGCAACCAAAGCTTCTCCAGTGATTGACAAGCGGGCAATTTCAGGAACCCCGATGTAATGCACAAACTCACCCGTCAGACAAGTCATGCAACCTTTCTGGTCATTCATTTCCTCGTCTACAAAATGGAGCTGAGAACAGCATCTCCCACCCAAAATGATATGGAAATAATTCAGGTATACAAGCAGTGCAGCTATGCCCGGGATCACTCGGGACCCCCTACAGACGGGGAGGAACTGGACTTGGGTTAGGAATGAGTAAAAATCTGGACTTGCAATTGTCAGCTCAACTGAACAAAAGGTCACATCCAGATAGGACAAGCACACGTGGGCGTACACCTTCTTTATTGCAACCAAGTAGAGAAAACACGAGCACTGCTTCACCAGCCTTTTACAGGCCCTAGCATCTTCCAAGGATATACAGCAACTATAATACATCACAAGGGAAACTAGAAAAGTGAGAGAGAAATCAATGCAATTTAAAAAATTACCCGAGTTAAGAACAGCCCACAGAGTTAAGCCTCCAATGATGAATGGCCATTGTAATTTGCATCAGCGAATGTCAATAAGCGTCTTTAAAACCTCTTTAACGTAATAAAAACAAGTCTCTCTCCTGTGAGTGATAAATTCTGACTCTACATTTTTCATAAAGGGCATGCAAAAGCCCACTAGTTTTGCTCCCTGGAGGCCTGAGTCTCCCCCTTCTTCTCCAACTGCTCTCTCTCCGCCTTCCACATGGGCACCTCCTCTCCTGCCCATGCCCTGCCTCTTCCCGGAACACACATGCGCACTCCCAGGCCTGCACGTTTCATGTTTAGGCCAATGACTCCAAAATCTGTATCTCTAGTCTGGACCTCTGATACAAACTCCAGACCAGGACGTGCTATCCCCTAGGTACCTAAAACTCATCAGGCCTAAATCTGCATCCAGGATCCGCCCACCTATTATGTGTTGAGTCCTATCCCAAGCACTTCACACAACTCACTGCCCAGTCTCATGTTAACCTGCAAGGCCGATGGTACGAACACTCCCTTTTCAGATGAAGTAATGGGCTCAGAGAGGTCAGATCACTTGCCCAGGGTAGATGGGGAGATAAGGAATTTGAACCCTACCCTCTGCCTCTAACACTTTCTATCACAGTGTTACCGGACAGGGGTTCTGATCCAGACCCCAAGAGAAGGTTCTCGGATCTCAAGCAAGAAATAATTTAGGGCAAGACTGTAAAGTGAAAGTAAGTTGATTAGGAAAGTAAAGGAACAAAGAACCACTACTCCATAGACAGAGCAGCCCTGAGAGCTGCTGGTTACCCATTTTTATGGTTATTTCTTGATAATATGCTAAACAAGAAATGGATTATTCATGCCTCCCCTTTTTAGACCATATAGCGTAATTTCCTGCTGTTGCCATGGCACTGGTAAACTGTCATGGTGCTGGTGGGAGTGTAGCAGTGAGGATGACCAGAAGTCACTCTTCTCGCCATCTTGGTTTTAGTGGGTTTTGGCCAGCTTCTTTACTGCAACCTGTTTAATCAGCAAGATCTTTATGACCCGTATTTTGTGCCAACTGCGCATCTCATCCTGTGACTTAGAATGCCCAACCATATGAAAATGCAGCCCAGTAGGTCTCAGCCTCATCTTATCCATCCCCTATTCAAGATGGAGTTGCTCTGGTTCAAGCATCTCTGACAACAGCAGTCTGCAGCAGTCACCCAGAATCCTGAAGGCACCAGGAACCCCAGGCCAGCAATGTGGGTAGCTGGAACCAGGAGCCCTTGCCTTGTTCTCCTGAAGCCCAGGCACCTCTTAGCAGACCCCGTGTTCTTGGAAAGGCCTCCTTGCTATCAGACGTTCCAGTCTCACCTCATTTGTGCCTCTCCCTTTGGATCTAATCGAATCCAGTCTAATGCCATTAAAATTACCCGAAATTACCCCAGTGGCTGATCCACAACAACAATGCTCCAAACATCCAAAGTTAGGAAACTTGCTCTGCAAATTAACTTGTCCTTGAATTATATATACTTAACCAAATCACGGACTTATTTCACTAAGGATTTCAAAGGGCTTAGGCCCCGAATTGTTAAGAGTCTCTTGTTTTGTTTGTTATTTTAGAAGCCTCTCCCCTCCAAATTAAGTTTGATCAGCCTCAATTCCTTCCGCCTGAGCCGTAAAGATAATAATTCCTCGGAGGGATGAAAAGAGTTGACCTCTTCTGACACAACCAAGTTCCCTTTTAAAACAAGCAATAAAAAACCACTTTATGTCGGATCTCCTCGACTCAGCAAAAGAAGATTAAATCGGAGGGTAATATCTGTAATCGGGCATCGGGGCAAACCCTCTCTTGTTCATTTTAGGAGGAAGTTCAAATGTGAAGATTTCTTTTCCACTGAGAAGAATTACCCTCACAATGTCTGGAATAACAGCGGAGGTAAAGGGAGGTTAAGGGGAGAAAAAAATGCAAAAACTTCAGTCCA